AACACTCTCTCCGTCACAACGCTAGCTAAATGTCAGTGCCCTGATTTGTCCTCAGCATCAGTCTCTCAGAAGCAGGCTGCGTTGGAAGCACAGACTTGAGTTCTTTAATATTTATACTTCATGAACTTAGTCAACCATGTATTAGCAATATGCCATTGTAAAGTGGTGAGAAATGTACAGCACCTACTCGCCAAGACATTCACATCCTGCAGGAACTCGTGGGCCTTGGAGACCAATAATTTTTTCTGTATATTTCATGGCAGAATCTGAATATACTGAGCTATAAAAAATACCTTCCCTTCACATCTGCCATACCACACCTAACCCTGACAAAAGGAAATCTACTTTGAGAACATGATTTAACGGTACTTTCATTTTTATTTATTTGCTTATTATTTTATTTCAGATTAATGTGAGGGTATAAACAATTAGGTTGCAGTGTTTGCATTTGTTAGGCAGAGTCTCTTTTGTAGTTGTGTTACATACTGAGGGAAGTGTGCCATACATCTTTACATCGTGCCCATTAGGTGGGGGCACACCAGTCTCCCTCCCTCCTCCCCGATACCCTCTCCTTGTTGAATTGAGTTTTTCTCTTATGTGGGCATGTATTCTTAGTAAAGTATCACAAGAATGAAAAGCAAGTATCCAATGTCCTCATTACTAATATGAAGCCAGTAGCTGATTTAATTAACAGTACTTCTAAAATATAATAGTCACTATGTTCATAATAGGTATGTAGTAATTTCTTATCCTTCAAAATAGATGAATTGGGGAGAATTTTTTAATTTCTTATCTTTTAGAAAAATGAATACACTATATCATTGAGACTTAAATTATAAAAACCAAAAAAGAAACCTCAGAGGTTAAGAGATACATTCGTTGTATGATGAATAACAACAATTGGGCAGCACCTGTGGCTCAAAGGAGTAGAGCACCGACCCCATATGCCGGAGGTGGCAGGTTCAAATCCAGCCCCGGCCAAAAACTGCAAAAAAAAAAAGAATAACAACAATTGTTTTGATTCATTGGAGATCTATTATGAGCCACATGGCAGTGACTTTATATATATACATTGTCACAGAAGTCATGACAATGCCATAGGTGACATGGACTTCTCCCTGTGCATTCATGGATGTTATTTATGTGAGTCTAAAAAATTTGCTCAAATAGCAGTGCTTCAGTTTATACATGATACAGCCTGGTTTATTGAAACCAAAGAGCACAATTAGAAAGGATTCTCCTTTGTCTCAGTCACCACTTGTGCTAGGGCTGGAATGCTTTTATTTATTTATTCAGTCAGTCAGCTGGGTAACAATTCTTTACAGTTCATCTACCAGGCATGGTTCAGGTGCTGGGAATAAGTAATGAATAAGACAGGAACACTCCTTGGTCTCTTAGACTTGTAATATAGTGGAGAAGTCAGACAGTAAGAAAATAGATAAATACATGAGGAAAAAAAACTGTCAGATAGTAGATAACTGTTCTAAAGAAGATCATATAGGATATTAGGATACAGAATGATGTATTCAGGGAGAGTAGAGAAGGGAGGTACAAGCAAGGTATTTTGATTTCCAGTAAAATCTCAAAGCAAGTGTAGTTGCTATAAATATAGTTGTTAAAACTTGTCTTCAGTACTTACATATTTGTATGTAAAATCACAGTGAGTTTAAGGAGTGATTTTTTTTTTACCTTTTCATGTAATAGCAAGTTTGTTAATGATATTTTTGTAAGCGAAGACAAAGAGTAATATATTAAGTATTTCACAGTCCAAAAATCACTACTTGAATGCATTAAAATATATGGCATCATTTATTTTAAAATGACTACTGTTCTTTATGTAAGTACCAAATTTAAATATTATGGTAAGCTAGACAAGGTAGCTCACACCTGTAATTTTGGCACTTTGGGAGGCCAAAACAGGAGGATGGCTTGAGGCCAGGTGTTAAGACCACCCTAGGCAACATAGTGAGATCCTGTCTCTTCAAAAAATTAAATTAGCCAGATATAAAGATGCAAAGCTTTAGTTCCAGCTACTTAGGAGACTGAGGCAGGAGGATCACTTGAGCCCAGGAGTTCAAGGCTGCAGTGAGCTATGATTGCACCATTGCACTCCACCCTGGGTGACAGAGCACAATAAATACATATATATTATTAGCCATTTTAAGCATTAATTTTCAGGGTGTAATTATTCTTATTTACTGTTAACCTCATTTCTATAACTTCGAGAAACAAAAATTTTTTTTAGAGACTGAGTCTCACTCTATCTCCCTGGGTAGAGTGTAGTGGTGTGATTACAAGTCACTGCAACCTCAAACTCTTGAGCTCAAACAATCCTCCCACCTTGGCTTCCCAAGTAGCTGGGACTATAGGTATGTGTCACCATGCCCAGATAATTTTTCTACTTTTTAAAAAATTATATTTAGGGTTGATTTATTTAGGTTTTTGTATGTGAATGAATTTTGGGAGTTTTAGTTTTTTTTTTAATTCCTTTTGTAGTAAATATATTTTTAAATTTCAGAATAATACAAGGGTACATATGATTAGGTTGCATTATTTGCATTTTTTAGGTAAAGTCCAAGTTATAGTTGTAGAGATGGTTTCACTCTTGCTCAGGCTGGTCTTGAACTCCTGACCCCAAGTGTTCCTCCTGCCTTGGCCTCCCAGAGTACTAGGAAGAGGAAATCTTTTATCTTTGTTTCAGATCTGTAATAAGGGCACATTTCAAAGTGAAATTTATGAATTCTAATAATGTACATAAACAATGCCTAAAAATGAGTGATCAGATGACAAGTGTATTATTTTTCATGAATGCTTTATTCATCTGACCATTCATAGAAAAATAATCTCCATAAATTGTTGGTATGATAACTTTAGAGATTATCCTAAACTTTAGCGATGTGTTATTTGGATAACAGACAGCCATCAAAAAGTGTGAATTATGATCAAAGTAAATTGATTCAAGGATCAAAAAGAAACGTCAAAAAGATATGCAAAGAAATATAAAGAAGTAGATTGACTTGAATGACTTTAATTGAAAAGAAGAGAAAACTAGAGGGCATTGAAGTATAACAAGATCAGTAGATTGCTAAAATTGTTTAGGCACCTATGTCAATATGTTTTTACAGGTATCCTAGGCACTCAGAGAATTACGGGGGGATGTCGAAGTATGAGATGCACCTACCACGGGTGGAGGCAGGAGGTGGTAGGGGAGAGCTAGGTCACAAAAGTCCCCTCAGGTGCCACATCATGAAATTTAGACATTGTTGAGTAGGCAAGTAGAAGCCACTTAAGGACTTTAAATGCAGGGAAGTAAACAATCATGTTTGTATTTTAAGAATATCATTTGACTATGCAGACAATGGAAGAGAGGCCAGGGAATTGGTTTAGGAGGCAATTGCAGTGATCATGCCATTATCTCAAAATGTTAAAACCAATTGCCAGTACGTAATCTACAGGCAAAACAAAATAAAATCCAAGGCAGTCACTTTGCTCTTCAGTCTCTAGGCGAGCAAAAAATGAGTAAAAGAACGTCAGTCACAATAAGATGCACTGAAAAAAGTGAATGGGAGGGACAGGGAAAAAGTGTTTAAAAGAAGTTGAAGTTAAAACAGAAGACACCACTGTGAGTCAGTAAGATCCGCAAAGAAATTGAAGCGATACCTGCTCTTCCTCACCATGATTTATGACTTGAGTTAGTGTTTGAGAAAATCACTGTGCAAATCTAAAACACTGTTATATATTCTCAAAAGGGAAACTGACAAACAAGGAGACATTTCCACTAGAACAGAAGCTCCCTAAAGGTCGGGTCTTACACCCTCCGTGTTTGCTGCTGGGTCACTGGTGCCTCATACGTAATACTACTATAGGCAGGTGCAATGCCAAGTGCTCTACACGCGTGAGCTCAATTAATTCCCAGCACACTCAGAGGAAGGAGAAAGGAGGGAAGATGATCCTCTGCATTTCACAGACAAAGAAAATCAGACCCAGAGAGATTAAGGAGCTTCCCCAAGGTTTACTAACCGCACAGCTAGTAAGTTACAGAGCTAGGTTGAATTCAAACCCAAGTAGTCTGTGTGTGAAGTCTGCCTTTAACCACCGTGTAAGTACATCATAATTATTTGCTGACTTGGAGTAGTTGGGGAAAGAGTAGTTACAATTCCTGAAATTTTTGAATGATGAAATATTTTAAATGCAACTTTAATAATTTCAAGGCCCTTTAAGTAACTGAAAGTTTGAACAAATTATTATATTAACAGACACAAATAAATAAATAAAACTTGATATATAAATATGTTTTTTTAACAATCCACAGTATTTTTGTCCTGGCACAAATGTGTAGTTATAAAGATTATTTGGGAAAATAAACACGCAAGAATATCTAGGAAAACCCTAAAAAAATTCAAGAACAATGCATAGTAAAAAGTAGGCCATATTAGATATTAAAGAACATTATAAAACTTCAGTAATTAAAATGATATGGTATTTCCTGTAGAATATGGCAGTCTTTCCTATAGCATTTATGTGGTTCATCTTTATTCCATAAATAGTTTAAAGGTAAACTCTATCCCAGATAATTGCTAAACAATTATGAATTCTATAAAAGTTAGTACCCAAATTATCTACACCAAGATGAAAACAGAACCATTGTCATGGTCATTTTGTCATGTCAAAATAAATAGGTGACTAGGAAAAGAAAAGTAACATAAAGGCAAAAAAGACTTACAAGATTAAACTGATATTTAAAGACTGGTTAGCAAACATTTACTGATCCCCCTGTAGAATGGCAAAAAATTCTGATAGATACCAGAGGTAAGTAAGGTCCCTTTCTTTTAAAGAACTTACTATTTACATACGAGCTGATGTTTAAACTAGACCCCATTTGTAGAGAGTTGAAGGGCTATGCTAGAGGTATATGGATTAAGCGTAGAGGACACTCAGAAGGGAATAATTTAATGGGATGGGATTCAGGACATCAGGGAGGAGCAGAGAAGGACGCATGAAGGAGAGGACATCCAAGTCCCCTGTCCACTGTAAAGAAGGAGTAGGGTTCACCTCAGAGAAAAGAAGGGTTCAAGGATGGTGGATGGGGTATGGCTTGCAGCACGTTCCTACATGAATGTAGAATGAACATGGCCTGGCTAGATTTTATGGAGCTTGTGGGAGACAGACCAGGTAGCATAGAGCCCACTCTTGACTGGTCAGCTGTGCCTTGCCAAGAAGTGGTAACTTGATCCCACTGGCATCAAGGAAACCACCCAATCTGTGATTTCTAAATAGAAAGAATTGTAATTGGATAAGACAGCACAGTGGGAGGGAACTGTACTAGGAAGACTGTTGGCAGGTGACTGCCCCAATCCAGGTGACAGTGCTTGCAAGCCTGAACTGCAGCAAAAGAAGTGGGAGTGGATAAGATGTCAAATTCAAGAGCTGGTTTGTGGGTAAAATCTATAATATAAAACTGGATGAAAGGATGGAGTGCGAGTCAGCAGTGAGGAATGAAGGTGACATCATTTGACCATAAAGCCCATGCTCTCCTTGCTGGGCAATTTGTAACTGCTGGATGCCCATGGCTGGTCTCCCTGCCTCTCTTCCATTGCCCATGCCACAGAAGTGAGCCTTCCTCTGTAGTCTCTCTGATCTCAGTGGCTCCTTGTCACTGTCCACTCACAGTGCCACTGTCCACTGCTCCACTCACAGAAACTCCTTCACGTGGCCCCTTCCTCTCAAGCCTCCCCAGCCACTGCACCTGGCCCCTTCACTAACATTCGGATGAGTCCCAGGCTCCAAAACAAGGCCGGTCTCCACCAGCTGCCAGGTTCCATGTGCTGTTCCCGCTTCCTGTCGATATTCCCCCACCCACCATTTCCTTACACTTTCAAAGTTTCTAGGGCCATGCGCCAGGGCAGCTCAGCATAGTCCCTCAGATGTTTGCTGAATGAGTACATGAGCGGATTTAAAGTTTATCTGAGTTTGTATCTTCTTATGGAAACTTTTCTTCCCCTGATACTCAAGTTTGCCGTAGGTTGTCTCTTCTCCCCTTCTCTGGCTTCTGTCCCTACGAGTTTTCCATACTGCCTTAGACTTCCCTGTTTATTGTCTATCTCCCATCCTCCCTAGGTTGTTAACATCTTTTGTTTTTTTTTTTTCAGATTAACATGAGGGTACAAACAATTAGGTTACAAGGTTTGCATTTGTTAGGCAGAGTCCCTCTTGTAGTTGTGTCCCACACACAGGGGGTGTATTGTATATCCTTATATTCTGCCCATTAGGGGGGAGAACACCAATTTCCTTCCTTTCTTCTTTCCCTCTCCCCATTTCTCCTTCCCCCCAGTTTGAATTAAATTGAATTTTTTCTCATATGTGGCTGTGTATTAGTTCATCTACTGGCTTCATGTGAGTATTGAATACATTGGATATTTGCTTTTCCATTCTTGTGATACTTTACTAAAAAGAATGTATTCCAACTCTATTGGATTGATACAAAAGATGTAAAGTCTCCACCTTTTTTATGGCTGGTTAGTATCCCATGGTGTACATATATCACAGTTTATTAATTCATTCATATGTTGATGGGCACAGGAGTTTCTTCCATGTCTTGGCAACTGAATTGAGCTGTGATGAACATTCTAGTGTAAATGTCCTTACGATAAAAATGATTTGTTTCTTTGGGTAGTAGTGGGATTGTGAGATGAAATGGAAGGTCTATTTTGAGTTCATTGAGGATTCTCCATAATCCTTTCCAAAGAAGTTGTACTAGTTGCAGTCCCACTTACAGTGTCTCAGTGTTCCCTTCTCTCCACATCCACACCAGCATCTGCAGCTTTGGGATTTTATGATGGGGGCTGTTCTCATTGGGGTTAGGTGATATCTCAAGATGATTTTGATTTGCATTTCTCTGATGATTATGGACAAGAGCATTTTTTCATGTGTTTGTTACCTATTCATCTGTCTTCCTTAGAGAAGGTTCTGGACTGTGAACATCTTAAGGGAAAGAACTATCTTTTCCCTCCATAACCCGGGTTGTAGCACAGTAGCTAGTACATATTACTAGGAGGGTAATCAGATGGGATGGGGAGGAAGGTTTAGGAAATCAAAGGAATATGACAGTGTTTAAGATGACATAATCAACAATGGAAATTACAGGCTGGTTATCCTTTTGGTGCTACAGAATTAGGGTGACCTAGAGCTGGAGGGAGAAGACAATCTCTTGAGTACTTACTTTGGCAAAGGTGAGAATGACATGGCTTCCCCCAGAATTACTCTATCCCACCATCCTGACCATTTGGATTCCTCCTCATGCACTATTTATCCCATGAGCAACAAGAGACCTATACCCTGTAAGTCCCAGATGATGCAACGTGCCTCGTGGGCACCCTGTCGCCCATGTCAGGCCTGCCTTTTCCAAGCATTCAGAGGAGAATCATCTCCAGATATCACCACTGTCTTACATCTTGGTTTCTGTTGTAGAATAAAGACCCTAAGATGGCTCGAGTTGCACTGGAATCTCTCTACAGATTACTTTGGGTTTACATGATTCGAATTAAATGTGAAAGCAACACGGCTACTCAGAGGTAAGGAGTTGACTTGTGTTAATGGTAACCACACCACCCAGCCACTGTGGAGGGTGTTTTCTTTAATCATTGCCCATACTAACCCAGCTAGAACCTATTCAAAGCTGACAGTTTGTAAAAGATCAAAGTCCCAAGGAATTTGTTCAGGCTTTCCTTAGTCATTGGCTCGGCACCCATCACAAAAATCCCAGCCTCCACCGTGATCAACAAGCTCCACTTCCAGGGTTGGGTTTGCCAGTTTAGACAAGGAAGCACCTACAATTTCCCCACTGCTCTTAGTTTTCCAGAAAAACTTTTCATAGAGTAATTATACTAATGGAAAGGGGTGAGGTGATTTGTTTTCTTTTTCTGAATTCTCTCTGATACTTAGATAAGATGAAACATCTGCCATTCTCCCTTAAAGAACTGGAGCTCAGCCAATCTTGCTTGTTTTTTCTTTCCCCCCTTATCTTCCAGCCGACTTATAACCATCATCACAACACTTTTCCCCAAAGGGTCCCGCGGTGTGGTGCCAAGGGATATGCCTCTGAACATCTTTGTGAAAATCATCCAGTTCATTGCCCAGGTAATGGGGAGTTTCTGGCAGTGGGAATCTTCTAATTACTCTTAATCAGCCAGGCTCCTTCTTAGGAAGAACTAAAAGATGAAAAGTCTAAAATAGCATCTGAACATGTTTAGACTTTTCAGAAAGGTTTTAAGTGTTTTCATACATAGTCTTTTTTGTGTGTGTAAGACAGTGTCTCACTTTGTCACCCTAAGTAGAGTGCCATGAGGCCATGGCTCACAGCAACCTCAAACTCTTGGGCTCAGGTTATCCTCCTGCCTCATCCTCCCGAGTAGCTGAGACAATAGGCATTGGCCACAACGCAAGGCTAGTTTTTGAGATGAGATCTCACTCTTGCTCAGGCTGGTCTCCAACTCCTGAGCTCAGGCAATCCACCCACCTTGGCCCCCCAGAGTGCTGGGATTACAGGTGTGAGCCACCACATCTGACCCTGACATGTAGCCTATTCTTTTTCTTCATAACAAATTGTTCTAAGAGTACATCAAATATTTTCAGCCTCTGACAGATGAAGAAACAGAAACAGGAGTTTTAAGTGGTTCACATGAGTCACAAAGCCTATTAATTAGTATTATAGAGAAATCTCTTAACTCTTTGTCCCTGTTTTTTCCTGATTCTCTATTCTGGATTCTGCAAATAAAGAGGAGGTAAAAGATCTGATGTTTAGAGGAAATCAAAAGAAGACAATTTAGTGAAATTTGAGGGAGAAATAATAATGTTCTAACTTTCACCTTGTGAAAGAGAAGTGAATAGGAATGTTAGCATCTACCAAGCACTTACTCTTTGCTGACCACTTTACATGTATTCATTGACTTAAAATCTTGTCCAGGAGTATTAAATATAGTTTGTAGTTTGTAATTTACTATTTGGACCTGAGAGTTATACTTTTTAAAACACTTTGTGTTTACCTCCTCGTAATTTCCAGCAGAGCAGGAACCTCTGCTGGGATCCGGCTCTATAGCATTAAACAAGTCAGACCATACCTTTTTGTCAGGTTCTTTGTTTGTAATATGGGGATGAAGAATCCTTGCCCAGTATGCCTCAGAATATTGTGTGGTTAAAGAGAAGTAATAGGTATGAAGTACTGTTGAAGAATAATTGATATTGATGTAAAGATGTAAGTTTGTCTTGTTAGTTCCCAGACTATTGGGTATCTCTCTTTGTATTTGTTTCAGTAAAATGCCTCCATGATATCTGTACTTAGGGAGAGGCCATTACTTACTCTGCAGATGGAATAATCACTGTAACTTTTCTACATGTAGTTATAATGTGGCTGAGAATGTGCTTTCATTAGTCCAAAAAATGTTGTGTGTAGTGAACCTGTTGTATCTTAGTAGCCAGTCTTGAATTATTAGACTCTGTCTTAAATATTCTTTATTAAGTAACCTTAATATGTCTTATTTATAGATTATTCATCTTGTGGAATTTTTTGTTAGCATCTGAGCCAAGGATTTTTAGCGTTAGAGAATAGAAGAAACATTGTCATTTTGCAGTGATATCTGTAAAAACATACTTTAAACCGAGTTTCAAGAAGTTACCAGTAATTGCGGTACAAGTAGGAAGAGTTTGGACTGTTTGAACCAAACACCCCAAGTGTTTTGGTTCTTTGATTTTGGGGGGGCTTTGTCATTAGTCATTTTGTGCTTTAGGGGTTAATTACATAACATATTAAAAAAGGCAGCCCCACATACCACATGAAAACAGACTCAGCCTCACCATCAGTTCCGCTGAGCGTGGTCTTCCTTCAGGGCTCCCTGAGATCCGTACAGCTGAGCAGTACACACCTCCTTCTGTCTGGTGCGTCTGAGGACAATAGCCATTTTATGCTGAATTTGTATGTTAATGCCTTCATTTTGTTTCCTTGTTTTCACTACAGGAACGGTTAGATTTTGCGATGAAAGAAATCATTTTTGATTTTCTTTGTGTGGGAAAACCAGCAAAAGCTTTCAGTCTCAATCCAGAGGTATGAATGATCCTTTTATATACTTTTAACAGATTGTGTATTCACAGAGCCACACCTTCTTGCTTTGCGATTTTGGAGAATGGGGCGGGGGATGTTCTTTTCTAAAAGGCTGTTTCTGTCCATGTCCAAAGTCAGATTAAGGAATTTCAGAAGTACAATTTGGGATAAACTTAGAATGAAATATAGTTAGATAAAAGGTTAATGTGTTACCATATTCTGTTCTTGTATAATAGAGTAATTGTTGCCAAAAAAGAAAATCTGGTGCTAAGTCAGGTTGTTTCATTTTAGAAAAATCAGTGCTTTTACTTATAACTGATTTGATGCAGGTTGGCAGGTTTAGTATTGGGAAATGATGACACAAAGAAGAGCAAATGCAGGCAATAATAAATACACTACAGCATAGAGAAGTTTGTAAAGTGCACACATATATTTCTGTGATCCCACAGACACAGTGGGTTTCAGACGCAACATGGCATAGCGGGGGCTATGCAAATGTACAACGCATAGCATTTCCCACTTTTAAAATCACTGTCAGCCCACAGAACCAGGCCTGGCAAGCTGCCTTTTTCAAGCCCTATTCCTATGAAATTGTAGAAAGAACCCTGGACCAGAAGTCTGCCAGAAAACAGACTGGATTTGCAGTCTGGATTTGCCACTTGCTGTGGGCTCGGCTACTTTTCCTAGCTCTGTGACATTTACCCTTGACCTATAGGTTTTCAGCAACAAAATGTGCAGCACACTTTTCTAGCTTACCTTACAGAATAATTGTGATATTGGGAAAAGCATACTGCAAACACTTAAGCAAAAGGAAAAGGGAAAAATTGAAAAATTAAATACTATACACACACGTAGTTCTTACTATCTCTCTGATACTCTGTTAGTGAGGAAGGAGACCCAGAGCCCAGAGGCTCAAAACAGGGCAGTTTTTTGGTAGTAGAGGGACCCCTGGCATTCCCATGCTCCTTGGCACCACACCCTGTGTTCTCTTCTTGATACTAAGGCTTCCACATATCTCAGTAAAGCACAAGAAGCCCAAAAATGGGAGTTACTGCCTGGTGTCTGACGATACCACAGGCTTCTGGTATGTCTGCAGCCAGGGTCAGCGGGCCAGTGTGAAGGAGCAAAACCAGTGCCAAGCCAGTGGACGGGCCTAGGGCTGGACAGTCAACAGTCTTCTCTTCCTGGGGAGATTCTCAAAATATTATTCATTTCTCTGTAATCATGGCTCTACTCTCTTTAATACTTAATTCTCAGAGTTACTGGAGTTCATGTCTAAAAAAGACATGTTAAATGTACTACCATCATTATCACTGCTTATAAAATGTATCCTTGGTTCTTCTCTCAAACTCATTTAATAATAATTAATTCATTAACTTTTCTATACAGAGGGCTTGGAATTTTGATTTAAAAAACACTACCAGGCTCAGCGCCTGTGGCTCAAGCGGCTAAGGTGCCAGCCACATACACCTGAGCTGGCGGGTTCAAATCCAGCCTGCACCCGCCAAACAACAATGACACCTGCAACCAAAAAATAGCCAGGCGTTGTGGTGGGTGCCTGTAGTCTTGGCTACTTGAGAGGTGGAAGCAGGAAAATCGCTTGAGCCCAGGAGTCGGAGGTTACTGTGAGCTGTGATGCGACAGCACTCTACCCAGGGCGACAGCTTGAGGCTCTGTCTCAAAAAAAAAAAAAAAATACTACCAGTAAGAGGAAATATATGAGTATCTTGTTTCATGTCTCTTGAGTTGGTAGGGTTATGGAAGAATTTATTTATTGGTCAGTAATTATAAGCCTGGAAATACCCATAACCCCACTCAAAAGCAGACACAAAGATAGACTGGTCTATGAAGCAAATGTCACGCACTGGGTGAAATATGCTGCTAGGTACAGTTTCTCAGGAATCAAACCCATATTGGGTCTTTGAAAATATTTTTGAAGTAGCTTTTGCAACAAGGCCTGGAGATCTAAGGGGTTATCTTGCTATAAAGTTTATATTGCACCATCACTCAACTGTTAGGTAGTTTCCAGCTAATTGTCCTGTTTTAGTTCAGACCTAGATAACTTCTAATATACACCCTGATCATCATGAGAACTTGGCTCATCAATTTCTCTCAGTTTTGCCTTAACTTAAAATAAGTGACACATGAGGTCCAACCCAGTGCTAGAGGCAAGAAGAAGAAATAAAAAGAATATAGATTAGAAAGGAGGAAATAAACTTGTCTTTATTCACAGATAATCTGTTTGTCTATGTAGAAAATTCCAAAGAATCTAAATAAAACCTACTAGATCTAATAAATGATTTTAGGAGGTTTATCGGCTAGAAGATAAATTTATTATATCAATATGTTTCTATATTCTAGTAATGCCCAATTAGAAATTGAATAATTTATAGTAGCAATGAAAAACAAAACGCTTAGCAATAAAGCTGACAAAATATGTGCAATGCTTTTATACTGAAAACACAAGTGTTTAGAGAAGCCAAATAAGTGGAAATAAACACTATGGATTGAAAGCCTTGATGTTATCAAGAGGTTAACTGTTCTCATATTGATCTATGTAGATTGAACTGTGATTCCAGTAATAACCCCAATTAAAATCCCTCTACCATTGTCTGTAGAAATCAACAAGGTGATATTAAAATTTCTATAGAAAACCAAAGAAACTAGAAAAACCAACATGATTTTGAAAAAGAAGACTTAAGTTAGATTAGAATGGCCTGATTTTAGGACTTACTAGAAGTTTATATGGTAATCTATGCAGTGTGGTAATGGCGGAGGATAAATATAAAGACCATTTGAGGAGAAGAGATACTCCAGAAAGAGACTGATGTGTATATGGTCAGTTGATTTTCAACAATGGTTCCAAGTTAATTCAAATGGATAAAAAATAGTCTTTCCAATACAGAGTGCTGAACAGTTGGACATCCACCGGCAAAATAATGAGCCTCAACCCTTAATTTGCGCTGTAAACAAAAATTAATTCAAAGTGGATCATGAACCTAAATGTAAAATCCAATGCTTTAATTCCTCCAAAAGAAAACATAAGAGAAAAATCTTTGTGAACGTCAAGTAGGCAAAAATTTCTAGGCCATAAAAATCATAAACTATAAAAGAAAAAGCTGATAAATTGACCATTATCAATAATAAAAAAAAAGTCTGCATTTAAGACACTATTAATAAACTAGAGAACCACAGACTGGGAGAAAATACTTACAAAACATAAATCTGATGAAGTACTTCTATACATATCGATAAAGAACTGTCATGACTCAATAATAAGAAAATAGCCCAATTTTTTTTGGCTCAGTGCCTGTCACTCAGCGGCTAGGGCATCAGCCACATACACTGGACCTGGCCAGGGTTGAACCCAGCCCAGGCCTGCCAAACCACAATGACAACTACAACCAAAAAATAGCCGGGCGTTGTGGTGGGCACCTGTAGTCCCAGCTACTTGGGAGGCAGAGGCAGGAGAATTGCTTGAGCCCAGGAGTTGGAGGTTGTTGTGAGCTGTGAGAGTGCTGTGACACTCTACTCAGGGCAACGGCTTGAGGCTCTGTCTCAAAAAAACCCAAAAATGTTCAACATCATTAGTCATTAAGTAAATGGAAGTTAATATCACAGATCAATTCACAAACACCAAAATGTGGAAACAACCTAAATGCCCACCAACCCAGGAATGGATTAACAAGCTGTACTATTCAGCCATTAAAAAAGATGGAGACTTTACATCTTTTGTATTAACCTGGATAGAGTTGAAACCCATTAGTCTTAGTAAAGCATCACAAGAATAGAGAAGCAAGAATCCAGTGTACTCAATTCTAACATGGATGCAGTAGATGATCTAGTACAAAGTGGGGGTGGGGTGGGGAATGAGTAATCGGGGAGAGGGGAAGTGGGTGGAGGAGCCAAGGTGTATGGCACGTCTTTTGGAGCTGAGACACAATTACAAGAGGGACTTAACCTAACAAACACAATCAATGTAACCTAATTCTTTGTACCCTCAATGCATCCCAAACAATAAAAAAAAAAGAAAATGCAAGTTAAAACAACAATAACTATACAATGCTAAAGAAGATACAGAACAACTACAACCTCATACTACTCTAGTGAGAATGCAAAAAGGTACAACCACTTTTGAAAACAGAACACACCACATGAGCCAACAATTCCACCCTAAGACGTTTATCCAAGAGAAAGCAAAACACATATCCACAAAGGTTTGTAGAGATATTTACAGCAACTTCATTCATAATCATTAAAAATGGGAAAGCAACTCATGTCCAACAACTGGCGAGTGGCTGAACAAATTATGAATCATCATCACGATGGAATACTCATCGGTGAAAAGGAACAGACCACTGATGGATGCAACAGCATCTCAAAAGCATTATGCTCAGTGAAAGAAGGAAGACACAAAAAGCTACGTACAGTTTGATTCCATTTATACCACATTCTGGAAAAAGGAAAGCCACAGGTAGACAGGCTGTCAGGTGCTAGGTTTGAGGGTGGAGCCTGACTGCAAAGAGGCAGGAGAGAATTGGGGGAGATGGTAGAAATATTTTGGATCTTGATTGTGAAAATGCTTCTCAAAACGCAAACTCCTGTACAACTAAAGGAGTGACTTTTACTACATGTGAATTATATCTCTTAAAACATAATAAGAGATCTGACTTACAATAAATATTTGCTAACAGAAACTTCAGGCATTTTCTTTGATCCTCACAATTGCCCTGTATGAGCTATAGGTATTGCTCTTTTCATTTTACAGAAAGGAAGTTGATATTTGGACTGGAAAAGTTAAATAATTTCCCAAGGCCAGGCAGAAAACAAGGAGAGGTAGTGCAGAATTATATAAAATACCCAAAAAAATTATTTTTGAAATTAACTTCAGAATGTATACTAAAAGATCCCATTTTACTTCTTTCCTTAGCATTGTCCAGAGGAAAGGAAAACTCAGAGAACAGGCAAAGATGATTCATAAGCTGCATAATCCAGTTGCAAATGATTGAGGCTTGACCATATATGTTAATCCAAGGTTATTATATTGATCCTGCATCTGCTGAGCTGGACATCGTAATTTCTTGCCCAGAACATTGCTGTGACTTGATAAAAATACACAAGCCTAGAAAAAATTTCATAAAAGAACACCAAAAATCGAAACGAATTGGGTTTGATATACAGTTAGTTTTTTAAGTTAATAGTCTCTCATTCTGGAAAATGGAGAAAGCCTCTTATTTAAGGTCATTCAATCATAAGTACACTGAATTGTGTATAAATGAGCCAGAGAAATTGTTTGCCAAATCCTGGTTGAAATATCATATCTCCTTAAAGCTTGAGCAGATAGTTTAAAATTGAATAGAAGTCTATATTATTCTATGTTATAAAAGTATAATAGGGTTCCACAAAATAGGACTACAGGCAAATCAGACTTGGATGAATAGCGTCTCACCTTCCCTCAGTTTCCTAATCTGAAAAATGAGACTACCTTCACCTGAAACTAGGAACACCTTCCTTCCTTGGCTATTTTCAAGGGTGAAAGTTAATGAGCAGTTCTGGATACATTTTAGGGACTCAAAAAATTATAACTAAATGATCATTATTGGTACTTGTTATCATTATTCTCTTCCATAGGTAGTAGTTTAATAGTTTACTTTGGGAGTTTATTACTTCACGAGGTTTGAAAATATCAGGGTAAATGTTTCCACATGGGTGTCTAATGAAGTACAAATGTTTTGATACCTTCTGACCTTTTAAGATTAACGCTAAGGAGAACAACTCTCTTGCTGAGCCATCTTTCAGAGCCAGTGTCATGCCTTACCTGCGCTTAAGGAAGATAACAGTATGGCCCAGAATGGCATTTCTTCTTATACATCCATGTGTTCCCATCAATAGTAGGTTCTGTGGCATTGAATTTTTGAAATTTCTTCTCAAACTTGCTAGCTTTTGTAAATTAAAAGTTAAGATCTGCAATTCAGAGCCGGTGTGATTTGGAACTCTGAGTGTCTCCATTCAGTCTTCATCAGTTAACATATGTGGTGTCTCTCTCCTTCCAGGAGACGCAGGAGCCTTTGTTTCCCTTAGTTACAGATGTTCCAGAGGAGGACCACCTGTCCCTTTGAGATATACCCAGCATTCCCTCAATAAAATGTGGTGTAAGACCATCTCAAACATGCCCTCCAAGTTGGGTGAAATCTCAGTTGTTTTCCTATGACGCACCAACAAACAGTGACAGAAACCTAATTTTCATAGGTTTGGCCTACACCCCTGTGCCTATTCTAAATGCAAGCCAGTCCTAACTTCTCTGGAAGACTCATGGTTTAATTCCACTACAATAATTAGTCCTTTCTTTTTGTCATGAACATCTTGTCTGTCGCAGAGAATGAACATTGGTTTACGGGCGTTCTTGGTCATAGCTGACAGTTTGCAACAGAAGGACGGGGAACCTCCCATGCCAGTTACAGGAGCTGTTCTCCCTTCAGGAAACACATTGAGAGTAAAGAAAACATATTTGAGTAAAACGCTAACTGAAGAGGAAGCCAAAATGATAGGTGGGTTTCAAACATGTTAGAACTGATCCTTATTAAGCCCTTAAAATAACTAATAGATACTTATCTTTAGTAAGATGCACTTTAAAAAGAATCTTTAGAGAAGTAGCCAGAGAAACATTTTGACTTTAATTGTTTTGATTGATTCATGCTGTGTTTTGTTTTACTGCCCTTTATACTTGCTGGAACTTCCTGGTAAATATTTTGCCATTTAAATGTTAAACTTTTATCTATGGTCATATTGAGTATCTACATTTTTCAGTAAATTTCTAAGACATCTATGTGCTTTGGTAGATAATCCTGTTTATAATTCATTCATTCATTTTTATTTCATTTTCTTTCATTTTCAGTAAAATTAGTCTAATCTCTGTTTTAAACATGCCAAATCCCACAACATGCCAAAATATATTATGGATCTAGATTACATGATAATATTTTTTCTTTTTAATTTAGCTATCTTAATCAAAAGAGGTGATTTTTACATTTGTTCATTTCTTATCAAGCACCCAAATGTAGGCAACCTACTACAAACTTTGTTAATATAGTTCCTGGATTCTAAAAACATGAGGGAAACATATAAGGAAACTTTGTGCTTTAAAATATTTATTTTCACTTATGCAATATTTAAATGAATTGAAAAGGTTTAATGCTTGAGAAGTAATCATTGATGATTTGATTAAAATACAAATTTTAAATACAAAACTATTTACTTTTTATTACTATTATATATGTGTATGTATTTTGTATTATGTATTTATATGAAATATATACATTTGTCTTCCATTATAGGACAATGATACAGTACTGAATGAGAGCAGTAAAAGTAATATAGCTTAAACACATTTTTCCTCCAATTTAAAATTAATGGTATGAAGTAATTTTACTAAAATAAAAATCCACACATTTTTCAGAGAATATTGTGTGATTTTAAAAATCAGAAGCCAAAATGGGAATTATCCTTTATTCAGATAATCACAGTTGATGGTGAATTTTCTTTCTTTCTTGTTTTTTTTTTTTTTTTTTTTGAGACAGAGTCTTACTCTGCTGTCCTGGGTAAAGTGCTGTGGCATCATAGCTCACAAGCACTTGAAACTCTTGGGTTCAGACAATCCTCTTGCGTCAGCCTCCCAAGTAGCTGGAACTGCAAGCACTTGCCACAACACCAGGCTACTTTTCTATTTTTAGTAGAGATGGGTGTCTCACTCTTGCTCAGGCTGATCTTGAACTCCTGAGATCAAGCAATCCACCTGCCTCAGCCTCCCAAAGTGCTAGTATTATAGGCCTGAGCCACCATGCCTGGCTTATGGTGAATTTTCTTATGCTAGCAGAAACTTTCAAAAAGTAGAATTTTGCATTTTCTTGTTATTTGAACTCTTCCTGAAAATATTTTCCATTGAAGTATTAGGATTCCTGTTAATTGAGTTTAAATGATTATTTGGTGAACACCCACTAAGTCCAAGGCACTATGCCAGCAGCCATGCAGGTGAGAGTGAATGAGACTCAGCTCTTACGCTCAAGGAAGTTATTGATTCATAGGGTCTTCAGTAAAAAGTGTCATAGAGGGTAAATAAACCAGGGTATCCTTTGGTATACTTAGTGGAAAGTATAACTATAGTGCATGGTTTTTTTTAGGCATGTCCTTATATTACTCTCAAGTACGAAAAGCTGTGGACAATATTTTAAGGCACCTCGATAAAGAAGTAGGAAGGTGTATGATGCTGACTAATGTCCAGATGTTAAACAAAGAACCCGAAGACATGATCACGTGAGTACAGTGAATGTTAACCAGAAAACACACAGGTCGAGAGTCTTCTCACTTATTCTGTCTTTTGTTCTCAGCATCTTAGAAAAAGAGTTCTGAAAAGTAGGAAGAATAGTAAAATAAACAACTTGGGCAGTATTTGACTAGCTACAAAAATAAGGTCATCTCTATGACTGATCTGTTGTGGCTGTACCTCAAAGTATCATTAGGTTAGCAAGTTAGAAAACGGGGCCCACAACTGTCTAGTCTCTGTTTTTCAGAAGCTAACATTTTCTTCCCAAACTCTATCATAACCTACATGATATAGTGACACCCCCAACTCACAAACATTATATCTTTATAAATATCATGACAGTTCCTACTTAATAGCTTCTATGCAACTGTGTCATAAATTTAAAAAAAGCATTTTAAGAAAGCATCTGAGGCTATGATTATAGAAATAAATCTTCTTAGCCAAAATGTAAAGATCTAGATTTGCAATTAGAACTTGTATTTTCTATTTTTGATTAATTTTGGCAGGCACTAGTATTAGGTTATAATTCTATATTTTAAGAAAGTTTGAGTCTTGATGCCTGTAGCACAAGGGTTATGGCACCAGCCACATGCACTGAGGCTGGCAGGTTTGAACCCGGCTCAGGCCAGCTAAACAACAATGACAACTGCAACAAAAAAAAAGAAGAAGAAGAAAGTTTCAACTTTGTTGTTGGACTATGAATTAAATTACCTTTGGCAGCTATGGCACAAACTTCCAAAAATACAATTAGGAAAGTTTCCTTTGTCACCCAGCATATCTGGCTCCAAATATCAAAACTGATCTGAAGATCATTACCTATAAGTCAATCTGAAGATTTTTACCTATAAATAGAAGTTCATATTATGGGTGTGCATTTTTATTACAGTGGTCTCATCTTTATCACAGACTCATGATTAAAACAAAGGCAAATATACAGAATTATTTTAAATACATATTTAATAGTATCTAAAGATAAAAATGAAAAACTTCTCAAAACCTCACTTAAAATCTGCAACTGTTCTCTAGTTCAATGTGATTCCTTTCCAGACCTCTTTTTTTTTTTTTTTCAGTTTTTGGCCAGGGCTGGGTTTGAACCTGCCACCTCTGGCATATGCAGCCGGCACCCTGCTCCTTTGAGTCACAGGCACCACCCCCCATTTTTTTCTTTTTTACCGAAGTGGAATCGTATAATGCATGTTATTCTGCAGCTTGCCAGTCATTTGATTTAAATGATAGGAAGATCGTGTTGCTTTAGACTGTTTAACCAAAATAATAGAAGATTGAGATTGAGCAAGGTTAATAACATTAAGTATATTATCTATAGCTCTAGTTCTTACCTTGCAAATCATCAGGTTATTCATAAACCTTCAGCCTCATTATTTCATATGCCTTGACTATCTTAAAGACATTTTCAACTTACAATGAATATATGAGAAATGCTTTTGAAATTTCACCCATTTACCTGGTTTCCCTTAAAAATAGTACAGAAATTAGTGAACTTTAAGGAAACCTATACTTATAATCAACAGACCTCTTATTAATAAGATAGGTTCAGGACGAAAATAATATATTTAAAACTTTAAGGATGTATTTAAATGTAAATGTCAATATTTTATTTGTGTGTTTTTTTTTTTTTTTTTTTGAGACGGAGCCTCAAGCTATCCCCCTGGGTAGAGTGCCATGGCATCACGCTCACAGCAACCTCCAACTCCTGGGCTCAAGTGAGTCTCCTGCCTCAGCCTCCCAAGTAGCTGGGACTACAGGCGCCCGCCACAACGCCTGGCCATTTTTTGGTTGCAGCCATCATTGTTGTTTGGCGGGCCCAGGCTGAGGATTCAAACCCACCACCTTAGGTGTATGTGGCTGGTGCTTTAGCCGCTTGAGCCACAGGCGCCGAGCCATTTTATTTGTGTTTTAAACGAAGTATCAAACTTTGTCTAAGATTCTTTTTTGCATTTTCCTATTCAGCCATCTTAAGACCCCCAAATAGGGTTAGGAATTTTTTTCATGCTGCATTTTTTAAGTCACATCCCTGAGTGGAAAATATCTCATTGCCTCATTTCTAAAAAAACAAGGAAAAATGCTAGGGAATCATATAAGTATTTAGAAGAGGGTGGAGGCCCACACAGCACTAATGGAAACAGTCATCTGAGTTGATATTTAAAGCCAGTCCACTGCTTTCCCAGGCCCTCCTTAGGGTAGGAACTTGAACATTGAAGTTGCTCAATTCTTCATCCCTTCTGTGGTTCATGCCAGCAAAAGAAAAAGAAAAAAAGAGAGAGAGAGAGAGGATATAAAAAATAATCATTTTAACATGTTAATAAATAATTTTCTTAATTGTGTTATTTAGGAATTCATATGCTTCCTATAAAAGAGCAGAGAGCAGAGACTGCAGTAGTGAGAAGAAATCATGCAGCAATTAGTTTCTAATCTGGGCTTGCTTTATCATCTTGGAAGTCTGGCAGAGTTTGCCCTACACTTCAGGCCAGTCAAGGTCATCCGTTTTCCGACAGATATAAAAATAATCCCAACTGTTAGAGACATCTGGTGAGCAAACTAGCAGAACTGCTTAAACTACTCACTGTGTTTCAGATGAACAATTAGGAGAAATCGCTGAGCTCTAAGGCTGTACAGCTAGTGGGAATATCGTCTAAAAACATCCCTTTCCTTCAAGTGATGAGAAACCACTGTGCAACACCTCCCCTCCAGAGACCGCAAACAGCTCATGCAAAGGCCTATGAAAAAGGAGAAAAACTGATCTGATGACTGTCCACAAGAGCAGAGTATTTTAGAAGCTAACATACATGTGTTTTATTTTTCATATAAACAGTTTTGTATTTATTCTTAACAAGCTTACAAAAGCATGCTAAAAAGTACTGTCCCAAAGCAAAATTGCTGCTTTATTATGATCTTTAGATTAAGATTTTTAAGTTAAGTCTCCGTGCCCATACATCAATGAGTAGGACAGTAGCCACATACACTGAGGCTGGCAGGTTCGAACCTGGCCTGGGCCCGCTAAACAACAATGACAACTGCAACCAAAAAATAGCCAGGCGTTGTGGTGGGCACCTGTAGTCCCAGCTACTTGAGAAGCTGAGACAAGAGAATTGCTTAAACCCAAGAGTTTGAGGTTGCCATGAGCTGTGACACCATGGTACTCTACCGAGACTGTCTCAAAAAAAAAGAAAGAAAAAAGATTTTAAAGTTAAGAGTCAAATAGTTACCTATTAAAATAACTAAAACTTTAACTTATCACAAAATATACATTTCTCCTTCGCATTTTCCAACAGAAGGCATTAATTGCCATTAGACATTCATATTCTGAAGACAGTAATGAAAAAGAAAGGGGGAGTCTCCATAGGGATCAGGCCCATTAAGTATGATTTTAAAAGTCAGAAATGGGTCCACACATATACACGTCAGGATTTTACTTACTATGAAAGACTTACTTTGGAAGCACTTGATTCTTTTTTTCAACCCTTTCCAATTTTTTAAAAAATGTATTTCAGATTAATACAAGGGTACAAACAACTAGGTTACAGTGTTTGCATTTGTTAGGTAAAGTCCCTCTTGTAGTTGTGTCCCACACCCAGGAGGTGTGCCATATACCCTTACATTGTGCCCATTAAGTGGGAGCTCACCAATCTCCCTCCTTCCTACCTTCTCCCTCCTCCCTCATTTCCCCTTCCCCCCAATTTGAATTGAGTTTTTCTCTTATGTGGTTATGTATTAGATTGTCTGCTGGCTTCACATTAGTATTGAGTACATTGGATACTTGCTTATTCATTATTGTGATACTTTACTAAGAAGAATGTGTTCCAGCTCCATCCAGGTTAATACAAAAGATATAAAGTCTCCATCTTTTTCTGGCTGAATGGTGTTCCATGGTATACACATACCACAGTTGGTGAATCCATTCCTGGGTTGATGGGCATTTAGGTTGTTTCTGCATCTTGGCGATTGTAAGAAGCATTTGATTTGTTAAAGACGGGACGAGAACTTGAGAGAAGCACAACTCATCAGAGAGAGAAGCTTCCAGATGTTACACCTGTAAAAGGCACCCTTCCTTTTATATATTAAAAACCCATTTTTAAATGCTGACTAAAAGGATGATTAAAACACATTTCTTCACACTGATGCATTTCTGTTATGCCAGTGTTTTAAATGCAGCCCACAGAGACCAAACCCTGTGGAACTCAAGCCTCTGGTAAAATACTATTGATAGCAGTATTTTTCTTTTCATATTTATATCTCTGCCTTACATTTAAATTATTTGAAATTTTATTAGAACAGATCAAACTGCAGAGGGCAAAAACATTTGAAAATCCTTCGGAGTCATCACCAGCCTGTGCTTCCGAAGGCGTGGATTCTAATCTTTGTTCACCATATTTTATCAAAAATTGTTTTTAAATTTTCACAACCTTTTGACCTGTGTTTAAATTTTCTCTTCAAATTCTAGGGGTGAGAGAAAGCCAAAAATAGACCTTTTCAGGACCTGTGTTGCCGCTATTCCTCGGCTGCTTCCTGATGGGATGTCCAAACTTGAACTCATCGACTTACTGGCTAGGTGAGTGAGAGCCAGCGTGAACGTTACTCAAACAAAATTGATTGTAATCCTGTCGTGATTCCTGGAAAAATAAAATGAGTAATAACAATAGGCAAATATTTACTGAATGAGATCTTATTCTGGGTATTACACGTATATGGGCAGGAAGGAATAAAGAAATAGTTTCTTTTTACTCATGGTCAAGAGTTTTAACATCCATTTAGAAGTGAGTACATAAACACATAGGTGAGTAACAGCCCCAAATCTGTAATTGTGCACATAAATGGCACAAAAAGTGCTATACACAAGTTCAGTGGGCAGGGAGATGACTCTGGACTAACGAAGACAGCAAATAACTCCTACGAGAAGGTAGAACTTGAATTCAGGAGGGTGAAGGGAGTGGCATGAGTGAAGGCACAGAGATGGGACAGGATGGGCCAGCTGGAAAAGAGCTCTTTCGAGTCCAGTGCTCATCAGTAGCCAAAGGCCTTCAGGCGACCAGCAAGGAAGATACAGGATCATAAATGGATTTTAGTCCAGTTCTTCAGACAGCAGCCCCAAGTCTGAAGTTTATCATCCTCCCCATCCTCTGAGAGAATGTGCCGTCCAAACTAGAACCTAAAGTTTCTCTTTTGAGTGAACTATCTCATTACAGTTTAGCAAGCTTGTTTATCTCAGGTTGATCTGAAGCTGTCTTTGGCAATTATATATGCTTTTAATTGAAAAATCAAAGGTGACTTATTCACCTAGATGCATGGAATGGGGAAGAACATTGATTTGGAGAAAAAGATAGCAGTTTACAAACCCAAAGATGAAGAGAGATAAAACGAAGTAAGACTGGAGAAGTAGGTGATGTGGTGTCTCATGCCTATAATCCTAGCACTCTGGGAGACCAAGGTGGGTGGATTGCTTGAGCTCACGAGTTACAGACCGGCCTGAGCAGAAGTGAGATCCTGTCTCTACTAAAAATTGAAAAACTGAGGCAGGAGGATCACTTAAACCTCAGAGTTGGAGGTTGCTATCAGCTATGATGCCATAACACTCTACCCAGGGGGACAATTTGTGACTCTGTTTAAAAAAAAAAAAAAAGACTAGAGAGGTAGGTTTTCAGCTGATTTTAAATGCTTTTTGAGACATTTGGGTTGATGAAGTTTTAAACAGGAGAATAATACAATAAAAAGAAATGTCCATTAGGCAGCACCTGTGGCTCAGTGAGTAGGGCATCCGCCCCATATACCAAGGGTGGCAGGCTCAAACCGGCCCCAGCCAAACTGCAACAACAACAACAACAAAAAATAGCCAACCGTTGTGGTGGGCGCCTATAGTCCCAGCTACTAGGGAGGCTAAAGCAAGAGAATCACCTAAGCCCAGGAGTTGGAAGTTGCTGTGAGCTGTGACGCCACAGCACTCTACTGAGGGCAATAAAGTGAGACTCTGTGTTGTAAAAAAAAAAAAGAAATGTCCATTTAGACTGTTCAGTCTGTGGCAGAATAAAGGAAAGCTGGGAGAAGGATAACAAATATTCACACTGGCTGAATGAAAGCTGCATTGTGCACAACCTAGTTTGCCCACATCCTCTCACCTTCTGAGGACACCCTTTACATCACTAGCCAAATGCGTCACCCAAGCTCCTACCCCTGACGACTACACGTCACCATGGAGCCCCATGTTCCTAGTTACTGTGGCCGTGGGCCTCTCTTCCATGGACAGCCAGTCTGCGGCCTTCCACTGACCACCTCTTGCCATCAAGGAACAGCGTTCACAGCCTGCTGCCCACCCTGTTCCTCTCCACTCTGCCTGAGGACCCAGCCACTCTCTTCCTTCTTCCTGGAACCACTAGCACAAGGATGGTGCTGAATGTGAAGGTCTCCTAATGATCTTTTACCAGAAAACCACCATTTCAGGAACTGGTGCTCACTGACCAAAGCCTTCCGCCCCTCCAGCTGCCAACATCACTGCCACCAGAACCTGTTTCTGTGTCAGCAGCAGCCTTCAGGGCATGGGTCCTTCTTGCTTCTAGTCCATGGTTAGGACATACTTTCAAGGCTCAGCAACCAGAACGTGAATGGAGAGTTCATCCATCAGGAGCAGAGGGAAAAAGAAAAAAACAAGCCAGGATCTAAAAGGGGTTTCCAGATCTGGGTGAGGAGAAGACCCAAGGAGGGGGAACAAAAGGTAGATTTCCAAAGAATAACAAGCATGATGATTTGAGGGGTGGGGAAGTCTCAGGGAAAAAGAGTCTAGGACTGTAAGGATCCCTTACACCAACACTGCTTCTCCCAGGATGAGGGCAGAGGCAGAGAATAAAGAGAAACTGGGAGACAGGTCCTACAGTGACCTGGAAACACGCAAGGAGCAGCCTGTCAGTTCGCATGCAGAGCAGAGAGGGCAGCGTGCCGGGCAGACACTCGTGTTTCCCCAGAGGGAGGTTGAGGAGTGGAAAGGGCTCTCCCCGTGGCCTTGTATGGAGTGGAAAGGGCTCTCCCCGTGGCCTTGTGTGGAGTGGAAAGGGTTCTCCCTGTGGCCTTGTGAGCCTTCAGAGGAGAGCCCAGCATCTGAGAGATGGGGAGGAAGCAGGATGCCAGAATGGGAAAAAAATGAACAAATAGACTCATCTAGAAACTTTGTATTCCGGCTTTGCCATTTTACCACCTGTGTGATCTTGACAAACAACTTAACCGCTCAGCCTGTCTTTTTCCCTGGGTAGAATTGTGGTAAAATTGGAATGAGACTGCCTTACCTCCCAGGCCTACTGCAAGGGCCGAGTGACTTGAGGCCTTGGCACTGTGTGGGTCATCTGAGGGAAGAGGCCTCTGCAGGGAAAAGATGGCTATCCGTTAAACTGAAGTGGAAGGAAGGTTCACTTTATTCAATAAAGGTCTAATTGGTGATTATGTGCCCTGAGGCCTTTGAAATACTAAGTTTTTCGAGGCAGACAGTGTTCTGGTAAAGACTGTAATGCTATTCTGCTATAAGTCTGTGTGGGTGACTCCTGCCTCTGGAATCATCTTCAGTAACCCATTCCTGGGCTGCAGAATCTGCAGACCCTGGTGCCAAGGCCTTGGGAGGGAATCCTGTCAGACAGGGTTGGAGTGCAGGTGCTGTTATGTGCACCCTGTTTATTATTATGTATGTTGTTATGAACCATGAAGCAGCGCATGCTGGTTTTTCATGGGGTAATAGAACAAATAGTCTTGAGAGTTTAAGTCTTAAGGAGAAAGCAAGAAAATGGCTGAGCTTATATGGGACACCCACGAAGGGACTTTTTTCAAGCTTCGAAGAAAGCCAGAAGCAGTTCTCCTCAAGGGGAAAGCTGGAGCAGGCAACTCGCACACTGAGTCCTAGGAGAAAATGAGCCAGTCACATCTCCTAATTCAATACATGTGGGTTTCAAGGGGCCGCAGGAGAAGGCCTCAGCCAATTGCTCACCTTAGTCCAGTTGAGTTTGGAGTAAGCTGACTTGAGCCAATATATGGTCTAGACAGAGAAGAGTGAGACCTTTTATTTCGGACACTTCACAGTCACATTTGTGGTACATTTTTCCTTGAAAACGTGGTTTTCCTCATAGTTAGTAAGATAAGACAGTGTTGGTGCAGGCTCCCCATCCTGCTCAGCTCAGTTCCCTATACGGAGTTTCAAAGATGAGTCCCACCTAATGCCCCCAGACCCCCTTCCTAGCTTGTCTGTTAGTGACTAAATACCACAACACCCAGACCTCAGACTGACAGATTAGTGTGCTGAACATGACAGTGGTGTGTGGGACGAAGCTTGCAAACCCCTTTCTCCAGGCTACTAAACGCCAGCCACCTCATAACGGCCGAGTGTGAGGGATCTTTCTGTGTGGGCTCCATGGAAGCTGCCCAGGCCTTCGCCTTCTCAGCGTCCTGGCGAGACCCCTGAAGGTACTTCCTCCCCATCCTCAGCAGAGCCTGCCCTGCGGGCTGCCTGGGGTCCGGGGGACTCTGCACGCGGAAGGAGGAGCTCACTTCTTTCTGGGGCAGTTGCTATCTTTTCTCTCTCACTCCCCTCCCAGGTATTCCCTGTTCTACCCTCTGACCACAGGAAGGACCTTTTCCCTAGCTGTCCACAGCCTCCTGCCCTTTGTCACTTCTCCCAGTACCATTTATGTACTAAAAATTTTTGGTTTAATACGTACCCTCCCTCTTCAAAACTTTGACTTGATAACCTACCTCCTAGGGTTGTGAGAATTAAGCAATGCATATGAATCACTTAGCATGATAGCACAGCGCCTAACACACAGGAGTTCTTAGCGGAAGTTAGGTGTCCTTGGTAGGTTTCTTCACATTTGAAAATATATACCGTGCCGTATAACGCATGCCATGTGCATTGTCTTACGTAAACTGGGCACATATTCATCCTTATTTTTAGACAAGGATATTGGATTTCAGAAAGTAAAGCTGGTTGCCCAAATTTATAGGCTATTCCTGAAGCCACATGTCATTGGTTTCATGCAAAATAAGAAACATATTGTATGCAGTGTTTCCTTATAACTTGTGGAAAGTTCTCAGGTAATGCATACACAATCCCACAGTCTTCTCTAGTATCTCAAAAATATTAAACATTTATCCTGCTTTCACTTTGCAGCTGTGTTGTGGGAAGTGGTTAGTTGTTTCAAGGAGCTGAAAAAGAACTTGTTTCAATTATATATATTGCCTCAATAGTTCACTTAATCATATTTCTTTCTGTTAATTGGGACACAGTTCAAAGCAGAGTGAATAGATGGGAGTCTCTTCTTTAATACCCTCCAAGAAGAAATTTGTGCCAAACCCAGCGAACTGCTTGAATGGTTATAGGCAAGCCCCCCTCCTTTTGGAAATCCTCGTCGCTGGGCTTCCCTGTGGAACCGTTTCTTCCTCCGCTGCCCTGATTGAGGAGCAGGTTCTACACGGCTTCCTAAGAACCTTTTGTTTATCTTGCCATGCTGTAGAGGAGAATGTTTCTTTCAGTTGCTCTTTTCTTCTGGACATAGTTTGTGAATTTGAAATCACCCCCTTTGCATT